ATTAATAATATATAATAATAAGTAATATTACTGTCTGATTCTTCATTATCATCGTCTAGCACATTTTCTGTAATAAACCAATTCCTGAATAAATGCTTAGAGTCTTGAAGCATGTTAACAAAATCGTTATTAGATCGTGAATATTGAGGGTCAAGCCCATCGTCTATTAAATGCCGAATAGACTGAAGAGTTGTGTAATGTTTTAATAACTCAAATTCAACATTCTTGCGATTGGTTCGCAAAACCATATTTTTAAAAATGTAGTGAATTGTTTCTTTGATTCCAACCTCAGTGTTCACAAGGGTTCCAAATATATATGCATGTCGAGGTAAATGATAACAGGTGTGAAGATTAGGAAGATACACAAACTCTGAAAACAACTATATCCAATATAATTTAGTAATTTTAAATACTGTTCATTGTATTTATTCACCATGTATACCCTACTCAAAACAATTGTTTTAATACCTGAGTATCATATAGTACTCTACTTGAGAATTTAATTACAGTTAGATACGATCTGATTTGTATTATGTATCATTAGAGTACTTGATTATCAGGTTTTTACTTGATTTTGTTGAGTACTAATTATGTATATACATATACCAGAATGTAACTGCCCCTATATGCCACTATAATGTCAAATCGTATACTGATACAGATATAGTTTAGGTTAATTGCTTTGTAATAAATCACATGATTAAAATAAAATACATACCACTAAGCTTTAGATGATTCCCAAAGAAAATAAAGCTTAGATAAATAATATAAGTTCTTATATATAAATAAAATATGGCCTTCAAACTACTGCAAAATATGCATGGGAATAAGTATAGTAAATGTTATTATAAGCTTACTATAGTCAAGACTTCTCTTTCTTCTTTTAGAATCTTTTCAAGTTCTTTGTAGTCACTGATTGATAATGGAAATTTAAATACTAAGTGAGTGCATTTGGCCACAATAGACTAGCAATTAATGATTGCATTAGCCACTTAATTGCGCTGCAAGCCTGATCGTCTTTGTAATTTTACTAGTTCTGTTGGTTTAAAAGAGTTTGCATCTAATGATCTATTTAATATAAATGGCATTATCATTCCTAGCTGAATACAGTCTGACATCATAAAACTTTCAACATAACTTATAGGGTTTGAAAGTTTTGACCATTGATGAGGATATTTGAATGACTTCCAAACCCTAAAAAATCTTTGTTTACTAACCAGTGACAACATTGCAACAGTTAATTTAAGAAGTTTTAGTGTTTTACCAGCCATTATATGATAAATGTCCTGGGGTGACTGGAGATGT